AGGGTCAGTGCTGAGGGAGCGCCGCACTGTTGGAGGGTCAGTGCAGACAGGCTCAATGGTTAGCACTGCTGCCTCACAGCACCAGGGACCCGGGTTCGATTCCAGCCTCAGGTGACTGTCTGTGTGGAGTTTGCACATTCTCCCTCCGTGTCTGCATGGGTTTCCTCCGGGTGCTCCGGTTTCCTCCCACAGTCCAAAAGATGTGCAGGTCAGGGTGGACTGATCGTGCAAAATTGCCTCATAGTGTCCTGAAATGTGTGGACTAGGTGGGTTAGCCATGGGAAATGCAGGGTTACAGGTACAGGGTGGGGGGATAGGTCTGGGTACGATGCTCTTCAGAGGTTGGTGTGTACTTGATGGGCCAAATGGCCTGCTTCCACACTCTAGGGATTCTATCTAATCCAGTGCTGTCCCTGTCCTAAAAGTGTTTGATGTGGACAGTGTTGTGGCATCTTTACTTTCCGTTTACTTCTAGTTTAAATGAGCAGAAGATTGGTCAGAAATTATGCAACCACACACACTTAAGGAAATATTTCATTATGCTCACCATTCCAGAGAGTAACAAAGATTCTGGTGAACAATGTATTGTTGATGGCTGACGAAGGAAGTATCAAGTTGAAAGAAAACACCGTTCAATTCTGTGAAACTTTATGCTGGTCAGAAGATTGAACTGAATTTAAATCAGCAAAGACAGATTTAGAAAGAAGCAGAAATTACAGTTATGAGAGAAAGCTTGCTAGAAATATATAAACATTAGAGTGTTTTCCATTCCCTGCGAGCTGACCCACTTGGTCCTGGAGAGGTGCGGGCCCAGTTTGAGTTCCAGCTAACCCATGGAGAAGGTAAGGAACTGGAGCAGAAGTAAAGCCATCTGGCCTGTCAAGCCTGATCCACCACTGGCTGATCTTTTTGTGGACTTAGCTCCACTTATCTGCCCACTCACCGTAATCCTTAATTCCTTTATTGTTCAAAATCTATCTTAAAAACATTCAATGAATTAGCTGCTTCACTGGGCAGGGAATTCCACAGATTCGCAACCCTTTGGGTGGAGAAGTTCCTCCTCAACTCAATAGAAGTAATAAGAACTGCCGATGCTGGAGTCAGAGACAACACAGTGTGGAGCTGGAGGAACACAGCAGGTCAGGCAGCATCAGAGGAACAGGAAAGGTCCCGACCCGAAACGTCAACTTTCCTGCTCCTCTGATGCTGCCTGGCCTGCTGTGTTCCTCCAGCTCCTCAACTCAGTCCTGAATCTGCTCCACTTCATTTTGAGGCTATTCCCCCCCAGTTCTAGCACCGGTGGAAACATCCTCCCTGCTTCTATCTTATCTATTTCTTTCACAATTTTATATGTTTCTGTAAGATCCTCCCTCATTCTTCTAGGTTCCAACGAGTATAGTCCCAGTCTACTCGATCTAAGGGAGAACCTGGTTAGGGTGGAGGGATGGTTAACTTGTGAACACTTGGACATTGGTTGAATCTCCTCACCTGTTGCTGTGGGCTGGGTGTTGATCAGAGTTCGGGAGTCATTGAATGAGCTGTTGCCCTGGTTTTGAATTGCAGGAACGGTGAGGTGTGGAGGAGTGAGAGGCTGGTTCTGAACAAAGAGGTGATCAGTCCATCTGCAGTCGGTAAATTCAGCCCCCTGGTGGATCTGGTGGTGCGGGAATTCACAGACTTTGTGGAGCGGGAGCTGGAGGCTGGTCGTTGGCACACGGAGTTTAACATGTTGCCCATTTTGTTTCGACTTTCTCTCGAGTGTAAGTCCCCGGGCAGACGGTGAGAATGTGTCTAGACTCAAGTGCCAGAAGATTGACTGGTTGGCATATTCCTTACCCAGGTTATATCAATCATTCACCACCCCCCCACCCGGGTTATATCAAACAATCTCTCCCCCCGCCTTACCCGGGTTATATCGAACACTCTCTCTCCCCCTTAACCGGGTTATATCGAATACTCTCTCCCCCCCCCCTCCCCTGGGTTATATCGAACACTCTCTCCCCCCCTTACCCGGGTTATATCGAA